GGGCAGTGTTTCGTTCTGCTGTGCATGGGGTCGCTATGAGTCGGAAACAACTCGACGGCACTTAACAATGACAACAACATAGAAGAATGGTATAATTTAATTTTCTTTTTTTTAATCTGAATACTAGTTACGCTGGTGTGTTAACTTGTAAAACTTCATTGAGATGTTCATTAATGATCTATATAGTTTCCTGTGTATGATATATTTCAATAAGAACTTAAAAAAATTCTCTGAGCAAATAAAAGCTTTGAGAATTACATAAAAATAATGGCAATCATATAGTAAACCCCAAATGCTTTTACAACTACCATGATTAAACAATGTCTGTGGTACCTTCCTCACCTTATTTCACTGAAGCCTTCTAAGAGTCCTACCATTCTCATTTCTCAAAGAGGCTCCCAGCAGCTCAACCACCTTCAAAACCAGCAAACCAGGGGAGCAGGATTTGGAATCCTATCTGCGGCTCACTAGCCTAGTTCTCTTCACTACACCACACTGCCTCCCGCTGGCCTATTAATCCTTACAAAACTCTGAAAGGAAGGTATTATCCTCACTTGAGAGAGGCCCAAAGTGTGTATCTCACTAGCACATAGCTAATGCAGAATGGAACAAGCATTACCTTTGAGGTCACACAGTCCAGCACCTGATATTCTACTTGAGGTAAAAGTTATTTAATTTCTCGGAGTCTTACTTTCCTCACACAATATAAGAATATCCAAAATCAATTTTTAAGGTATTTCACACTTTGTTGTTCATCTCAGGAATTTGGTTTTCAGAAATTATTTTATGGACTAAATTTTTACATCCAACTCTTTGGGCATTAATGTCAAATAATTATGTGCTGTTTCCAATGAAAATAAAGTCTATACAGACAAAAGTATTGTCCCAAGTGAATTTATTTGTGCTGACTTTAAAATAAATATTTCCAAACCCAACAGCAAGCCAGGTGCTGAAATGAGTAAATCTGTGACAAAAGCTACTAATGTAAATTTGTAGCAATTTCTAAAGAAAGTACTATCTCCCACCCCAACCTGCTGCTTTCTGCTAATTTAAGAAATGAAAATATCTCTGAGTGTCCAGGCCCTCCCTCCTTTATTACCTTAATATTTCAGATACTTAAGTCAATCACCTAGAGAAAGAAGGAATCATCATGGTCAAAGTGGGGTGATATGACTTTAGTGGCAATTGTAACACCAATTGCATGTGTACCTAGGTAGCCTCTATTTCAGGTCTATATGTCTTAAAAGCCTTCTCCAGGTGGTTTAATGTTTCTATTTTTCAACAGTTACCTTAAACAGTTGCCATACCTGTTGTGTAAGGCCTTCTCGACTTTCAGTAGAACTCAGAAGGACTCGGCGGTTTGCGAGTGCTTCTTCATAAGGCACAGACTCTAAGAGGGGCTATGGAAAAAGCAGCATAAGAATAAAAGGAAGCATACTGGACCATTCCCTTGATCTTACATACACAAGTAAGAATACTAAACAGAGTGTGACAATAAATTCAGATGTATACCAACACAGATTACTTTCTTTAATACACATGGAAAGGCACTTTTTTTTTTTAGAGAAAGAAAAATAACGAACTTGTCATACCAACTATAAGCCACACTAGTTAAAACCATATGGACTTGTGAAAGAACAGAGCAGAAAATCCCAAAACAGATGAAAGTAGCAGGCCGGAAGAGCAGGAGAAAGGGGATAAAAAGCCAGGAACACAGACAGAAGAGCAGTCAGCCCCAGGGTTACAGGTGAGGAGAGACAACTTAGGGACGCCCGAAGTAGCAAGCGGGAAGAGCAGGAAAAAGGGGATTAAAAGCCAGGAAGCCAGAGAGAAGAGCAGTCAGACGAAGGGATTAAGTGAGGAGAGGCAACTAAGGCCCGCCCAGAGTAGCAGGACAAAAGAGCAGGAGAAAGGGGATAACAAGCCAGGAATCCAGACAGAGGAGCAGTCAGCCCCAGGGACAACTCAGGGACTGCACAAAACAGCAGGGCAGAAGAGCAGGAGAAAGGGGATTAAAAGCCAGGAAGCCAGACAGAGGTATAGTCAGCCACAGGGACCCAGCTGGGGGTGATAAGAGAGGTCTCCAACAGCAGGACAAACTTGTCTGTCAGTTTGTCCTACTGTGGTGACATGTAGACTTGAGTTTTGAGGCTGAGCCTCTGGTGTTTAAAACCCAGCGAGATGCACCTGGTGCACAGGTAACAGCCCA